GGGATACGGAGGGGGTTTGGGGGGGGGGAGCTGCGCAGGACGAGGCGTCCCGTCCTCACCTCGGGGATATTATCCTCGATGATGCGCAGCACGACCAGCATGCAGCTCCGCTGGTTCAGCACCACGTCGATGCTCTGCGACACCAAATCTGGGGGAGAATGTGTGAAAACAGAGGGGGTGAAGCGTCACCTGCTGCAGCCCCCTCCCGCCCCTCGTGTTCCCCGGGGGCAGCGAGCAACGCTTACCGGGGTCGACGCGGAGGCTCTTGAGATCCAATGCCCGCTGCGAACCATCGTATCTCTTGCTCATGCAGAGCTGGGACAAGGCAATGCGGATGAAAACGAGTGGGTTTCCGCATTCCCCCTCCACCCAGAGCCCGCACCCGGTCATCCCACTCACCTTGAGTTGCTCAATCTCCTCCGGTTTCAGCTCGTTCTGCAGGGACTGAGGTGGAGCCGAGGAGTTGATAATTATCACCACTTTGTAGTTGTCCCTGTCGGTGATCTTACGGGAAACCTGCTTGAGAGCGCTGGCGGTGGTGGCATCTTCCACGTAGAATTGGGCCCGGTTGTGGTCGTAGTGGAACTGGAAAAAAAAAGGGGATGGGATGGGATGGGGTCCGGGTGGTCGGAGCACAGCCCGGCACCCCGGGGGGGCGCGCGATCCCCTATCCCGACCTGCCCTGACCTCCCCGAAACGGGAAGCAAAAGCAAAACCCCGACACACGGGCGCCCGCTCACCTCGACGGGGGTGAAGGGGACGCTGCAAAGGTTCTGGATGGAACTCAGCAGCCACGACTTGTCGTATTTCTTTCCGTAGGGGATCTAGGAGAGAATTTGGCCGGTGTGAGGGTGCAGCGTGGGGCGCGGGCAGGGCTGGCAGCGACGCAGGTGGTTTGGCCGTTCGTGGAGGAGCTGCCACAGCGCTGCCCGGGCCACGTGTGTCGCAGCTGGGTGGGATGCAGCCGCCTTCTACGTATGGTCATGGAGGGGAGAGGGATGAGGAGAAGGATGAGGAGAGGAGGGATGAAGGAAAAGAAAGGAGGAAAGGGATGAGAGAAGGAGAAGAGGAGGCAAGGAGGGATGAAGGGTGAGAAGAGAGGAGAGGGAGAAGGAAGACAAGAAGGGAGAGGAGAAAAGAGAGGAGAAAAGAGAGGAGAAAAGAGAGGAGAAAAGAGAGGAGAAAAGAGAGGAGAAAAGAGAGGAGAAAAGAGAGGAGAAAAGAGAGGAGAAAAGAGAGGAGAAAAGAGAGGAGAAAAGAGAGGAGAAAAGAGAGGAGAAAAGAGAGGAGAAAAGAGAGGAGAAAAGACAGGAGAAAAGAGAGGAGAAAAGAAATCAAAAGGGAGAACAGAAAGGAGAAAGGAAAAAAGAAATCAAAAAGGAGAAGAGAAAGGAGAAAGGAGAAGAGAAACGAGAAAGAAGAAGAGAAAGATTTCAGACTACTGCAGGTGGAAGGGACCTACAATGATCATTCAGTCCAACTGCCCAACCTCTTCAGGGATGACCAAAAGCTAAACTGTGTTGTTATGCGCATTATCCAAACACCTCTGGAAGCCCGACAGGCTCAGGGCATCGACCACCTCTCCAGGAAGCCCATTCCAGCATTTGATCACCCTCTCGGTAAAGAAAATACTTCCTAACGGCGTGTGTGAACCTCCCCTGGCGCAGTTGGGAGCCATTCCTCTCCCCGGATCCCTCTCCACATCCCTTCCTCCGGAGCTGCAGAGCGCGACGCAGCCTCTTCTCAGCCTCCTCCTCCTCTCCCAACCAGCCCAGCGCACTCGACCCCTTCCCTGGGAAGCGTATTCCGATGCTGGACACCCCCTCGGGGGAAAAAAATTGTTCCTCAGCTTCAATCTAACCTTCCCCTGGCACAACTGGAGGCCAGTTCCTCTCATCCCATCAGCTGGGACAAGAGATCTCCCCCCTTCAACCTCGCTCCACCCTCCTTTCAGGCAGTTGTAGGGGCGAGGAGGCCCCAGAGATGCTGCGAGGACTGGAGCCCCTCCGCTGGGAGGACAGGCTGGGAGAGTTGGGGGTGTTCAGCCTGGAGGAGGCTCCGGGGAGACCTCAGAACCCCTTCCAGTCCCTAAAGGGGCTCCAGGAAAGCTGGGGAGGGACTCCTGATCAGGGAGTGGAGCCATAGGATGAGGGGGAACGGTATTAAACTAAACAAGGGGAAATTTAGGTAAAATATTAAGAAAAAATTCTTTACTGTGAGGGTGGTGAGACACTTGCCTGGAGAGGTGGTGGCTGCCCCATCCCTGGAAACACTCCAGCCCAGGTTGGACAAGGCTCGGAGCAACCTGGTCTAGTTAAAGATGTCCCTGCTCATGACAGGAGAATCAGACTAAATGCCCTTTAAAAAGTCCCTTCCCATGCAAACCATTTTGTGATTCTGTGGAAAAGCGGGTGACAACGGCCGCCATCCACATCCCCGTGCTGTCCGCCCCACTCACGGTGATCTTGAACCAGTCCCGGCGCCCGCCGTCGCGGCTGGTGCCGCCGCTTCGTTCCGGGGTGGGAAGATCTCGTCTCACCGTGATGTGGATGTTGGCCGTGCGGTTGGGCCGTGGCCCGTAGGGTATGCTGGGAACAACGAGGAGACATTGGCGGGAGCCCTGAACCCCCGAAAACTCCCCGCTCAGTGCCAGGGTGGCTCCGTGGGGCTCCCCCAGTCCCTCCCGCACTCACTAGCGGCTGCG